ATCTATGTGGAAAGTTCAAATCCCAATTGAGGAGCTCAACCTCATTTAAAGATCCACCAAGCCCAACATAACTCAAGACCAGTTAGACTCTTTGCTTAGCCACATCATCAAGAGGGAGAGCATAGGAAGCCTTACCTGCACCGTATCTTTGACCGTATCCCATTGAGAGCACCGCAACTGTCTAGTCCGTTAAGGAGAAGTCATGAGCTCCACCGGAATAGTTATGTAGTTGCTAACACCTCGCCCAAATCTGTTAGGAGGGCAACTATAAATTGTGAGCTCCACCAACACTTGGGGGGCATGATGAGCACCACACTGATTACTTAGGCATCACATTTTCTCTGAGCACGACTCTCTCCTCTCCCTCAAAGCTTGTACTCTCTGCTCTCAACACCCTTAAATTAATAAAAGACTCGGCAACTAGAGTCATTCAAGAGTGGACGTAGGTCGAGTTGACTGAACCACTATAAATTGCTTGTGTCTCTCCATCTCCTTATATTATTTCTTATATTTATTATTTACACTTGACAAGTGGTGTGCAAAATTATTTTGTGCATCATCAGTTTGGCGTCGTCTGTGGGAAAAAGACAAAATTCTCACTCCTGAACTTTCCATCCACTGAACCAATGGTTATCACTACCCAATCCATGAACCAATACGAAGACAGTCCACCACGAGAGGAGGAGGTTGCTCCTCCACCAGCCAACCCTGTCCTTAATGCTCCAGCTCTGAATCCCCAGCAAATGTTGGAGACTATGCAGCAGCTGGTGGCCCAAAACCAACAACTATTGTAACTCATGCTTGCTGGCCAAGGAAGAACACAACATGGAGGACCTCAAGGACGAGCACAACTCGAAGGTGCACAACATGGAGGACCCTAAGGAGCTCTACGCGCTGAACACCAAGGAGCTCCACGCCTAGGCGCCCCCTTGGGAGTCCCCTTGGGCGCTCTACTCAAGGGAGCCTAACATGAGGGAGTTTCACCTCCCCCTCCTCTTGCTTCCCATGGAGAGGACCCTTATTTCCAAAAGGATGAGGGCGAAAACCAAAGCATCGAGCATGGAAGTCATGCCCATGATCATTTCAGAGGAGCTCCCAATCATTGGGACCCGAGACTGTAGACCACATGGTAAGGCATATGGATACGTCTTTCAAGCCTGATGTAGCGAACTACCCCCTCCCTCAGAAGTTTAAAATGCCATATGTGGAGACCTTTGATGGAACAAAGGATCCACTAGACCACCTCGACACTTACAAGACTTTGATGTAGCTGCACAATGTACCAGACGAAAATCATATGCAGGGCATTCCCAACCACATTGAAGGGGTCTGCCCGACAGTGATTTGCTAAGCTCTCCCCCGCCTCCATTGCTTCCTTCGCTAAGCTTAGCAGATCATTTGTTTCACATTTTATTGGAGGGTGTCACCACCAGAAGCCTATTTCGCACCTACTTAGTATAAAACAGGATTGCGAGGAGAGCCTGAGAAGTTACCTCACTCGTTTTAACTAGAAGGTACTTGAAGTTGNCGAGGAGAGCCTGAGAAGTTACCTCACTCGTTTTAACTAGAAGGTACTCGAAGTTTATGAACCCAATGACAAAGTCACCATGAACACCTTTCTGGGAGGCCTCCGCTCATCCATATTCCTTTTTTCAGTAATGAAGCAACCACCAAAGAGTATGTCAGAACAATTGACAAAAGCTCAAAAATATATGAACGCTGAGAAAATCAACAGGTCTAGGCGAGGTAAATCATCTCTCAGATCTCCAAAAGCTTGACCTACCTCTGCACTGTTCTCAAACAGGCAATCTCAATATCCAGCTTAGCGACTCCCTCACAGGTCGCCAAAAGCTTAGCTTACCTCTATACTGTTCTTAAACAAACAGCCTCAATATCCAATTTAACGACTCTCTCGTGGGTCGCCAAAAGTTTGGTCTCTGCACTGTTTTCAAACAGACAACCTCAATATCCAGCTTAGCGACTCTCTCGTGGGTCGCCAAAAGTTTGGCCTCTGCACTGTTCTTAAACAAACAGCCTATATCTCCAGCTGAGCGGCTCTTTCACGGGTCGCCAAAAGCTTGGCCTCTGCGCTGTTCTCAAGCAGACAACCTATACCTCAAGCTTAGAGCCTTTTTCATAGGTCGCCAAGAGCTAGGTCTTAAAAGGTGTAATTCTCTCACGAGCAGTTCTCCAACTCTGTCTTTGCTTTCGCGCAAGCAGCCTACTTCTCTCTATAGGTAATTATGTGAGATATTTTAATGTTTAGAATAACATTATTTTTGTCTTCACAATAAGGTAGTCCCAAGCTCGTCCTAGGCACCCAACACCTCCTAGGCGCCCAGAACCTCCCAGGTGCCTAAAGGAGGCAGCCCAGCACCTGAAGAGGTGTATGCTCGCCCAAATGGAGTAGCCCAACACCTAAAGAGGTGCTTGACCCCCTCTGCTCATCCAAACGAGGAAGCTCAGCACTCGGAGATATGACTGCCCCCATTTGCTCATCCAAATGAGGAAGCTCAGAACCCAGAGAGATGCTTGACCACATTTGCTCGCTCTAACGAGGCAGCCCAGCACCCGGAGAGGTGCCTGACCGCTTTTGCTCGACCAAACAGGGTAACCCAACACTTGGAGGGGTGCCCGACCGCCTTTGCTCGCCAAAACGGAGCAGCCCAGTAGCTGGAGAGGTGTCTGACCCTTTAAAGTTTCACAAAACAACACTTTTGACACCTAAATCAGCGCCTATGGTGCCCGAATCATCGTTTGGAGTAGTGCTTAGATCAGCCCTTGTACCAAGGTTGCTGCCCTGCTCTCCTCGCTGCACCTTGGACTGATTTTCTACACTTTTTGCTGAAAAAATACTACTGCCCATCGCTCGTGAGCTGCCCAGGACAGTAGAATTTACGCTGCCTAGTGCGTCTAAGTTGTCCAGGACAGCAGAAATAGCACCTAGGCTGCTGCCCAGCCTCCCTGCTTGCCCAATGTGCACGTCTGCTGCACGCCTGATGGTCTAGAGAGCCCCATTTTTTACCTGCATGCTGCTGTCCAGCTCCCTGCTGTGCGCACCCATGCTGCTCAGCTCCCTATTTTGCGCGCCAAGGCTGTCCAGCACTCTACCCAAGCTGTCCAGCTCATTGTGCTGCGCATTCAAGCTGTCCAGCTCCCTTTTCTGCACCTAAGCTGTCCAGGACAGCCCTTCCAGTGCCTGGGCAGCCCCCTGCACTCCAAAAAAATCCCTTAAATCCATCTAAACCAGCGCCTACCACCTCTCTTCTTTCGATCTCCACCACTCCCTCTTCAATCAACATTGTCCACTTGAAAACTCCACTCGAAATGGGTAGAACTTGAGTTCTCAAGATTTTCAAGAGGTGAGTGCTCAATCTCAAAGTGAATGAAATGGGTAGGATGAATGAGATGGTTATATTTATAGGTTAAGGTTTTTAAAGAGGGAAAAACTCAAATTGAAGGTTTTGGGCTCTTCTAAAAATCCTAGCAAAAGTGGAAAAAACTTGAGGCATGCAAAACAAAAATGCATTGTTGAGGGAAAGAGTCATCTAGCAGAGGAAGTTTCCACCACTTATAACTCAAGGAGCAAATTAATGCACCCTTCTCCAAGTTTCCTTGAACACGTGGCATTGGGGGGCAAATGATGGGTTAAGCTCAAATGGCCCAATCTATGTGGAAAGTCAAATCTCAATTGAGGAGCCCAACCTCATTTAAAGATCCACCAAGCCTAACATAACCCAAGACCAGTTAGATTCTTTGCTTAGCCACATCATCAAGAGGTAGAGCATGGGAAGCCTTACCTGCACCGCCGAAGGAAACGGTCCACCTTCACCGTATCTTTGACCGCATCCCATGGAGAGCACCGCAACTGCCTAGTCCGTTGAGGAGAAGTCATGAGCTCCACCGGAATAGTTATGTAGTTGCTAACACCACGCCCAAATCTGTTAGGAGGACAACTATAAATTGTGAGCTCCACCAACACTTGGGGGGCATGATGAGCACCACACTGATTATATGGGCATCACACTTTCCCTGAGCACGACTCTCTTCTCTCCCTCAAAACTTGTACTCTCTGCTCTCAACACCCTTAAATTTATAAAAGACCCGGCAACTACAGTCATTCAAGAGTGGACGTAGGTCGAGTTAACCGAACCACTATAAATTGCTTGTGTCTCTCCATCTCCTTATATTATTTATTGCATTTATTATTTACACTTGACAGGTGGTGTGCAAAACTATTTTGTGCATTATTAAAAAATAATAAATTTAATCCTAAAAAAATAATAAATTCTACCTAAAAAATAGTAATAAGTTAATCCAAAAAAAATTAGTGCACCACAAAAATCAGTAAAACTTCACCTAAAAAGTGGTATAAATTTATCAAATTTTAGTCATGGATACAAACACACGAACGCAATCTAATACGAAATCGAAAATAATACGGCTATTAATATAAATAATAAATAAGTTAATAAATTTTTAGAATTAAATAAACGTTTTTTTAATAAATACTACCAAAAATTAAAATAAGACGATATAAAAATAACATAACTCCAAATAACTTGACACAACGTGATACGACGGACGATCCTTTTTAGACGACCATGTGAATGATTGGACATTGTGTATAATCAATTCGGATTTAAGCCAAAAACGAACACACACCGACAAACGCACGTTCTGGCTTAAAATGCCCACCCCTAAACATTGTGTAATTTTAATTCCTACCCCTCAACTTTTTGAAATCATTAGGCGGATGTATGGAGGAACCCTTGGCCAACGCTTTATGTATACAATATACACAACTGAACATACTGCAATTATTACTTGTAGACAGCAAAAGAAACATACAGGAAACCAGAAACCGTGAAAAGAGAGATGGATTGGTTGGTTTCGATGCCGAAGGTGGAGCTACACGCCCACCTCAATGGGTCCATCAGAGACTCCACTCTACTGTATGCTTTCTCTGATTTCAACTCAATTAAGCACTCACACACACACTCACATTCTCTTATGTACCCACTTGGGTATCCCTTTTACTTTGGCTCTCATGACTGAGTGGTTAATTTATCTCATGTTTAGATGTATTGTTTTAGTTTGATTTGGATATCAGAGGACTTGCCAAACATTTGGGTGAAAAAAGGAACCATGGTTGACTCAAGAGTCAATTGTCTATAAACACCCATGTACACTTATGGATATCACTTCCTGGCAGCTAAAAACAAGAAAAGTTGGAAACTTTTTGATTCTGAAGTTTGTATGTGTATTTATGTTAATTTTAGATGTTTTAAAGGTTAAAATTTGTTCTCCAGGGAACTTGCTAGGGATCTGGGTGAAAAGGGTGTCATAGTTTTCTCAGATGTTGAGAATGTTATCCTGAAGAGTATGTCCATTTTCTGTTCTTTTAATTTTCCTCTTGAAAGTTGTAGTTTTATTTATAGTTTTTTCAGGGAAATCAGTACTTAAAACTGCCTTTCACATTGTATGTAGCTGATCGTTCACTTATCGAAGTGTTCAAGTTGTTTGATCTGATTCACATCCTGACTACTGACCACAAAACTGTTACAAGAATTACCAAAGAAGTATGAAATCCCTCAGTTTAATTTTGTCATATGAACTTGAAACAATGATTTATTCATGTTTTCCATGAATCAGGTTGTTGGAGATTTTGCGGCCGAGAACGTTGTTTATTTGGAGTTAAGAACAACTCCGAAGGTACTTAAAAGAGTGATTTGGGAATTTGCTTTGCTTACCTATAATTTGTTCTTTCATTTTCTATTAATTGAAATGACTGGTAATTGTGCACCTGAAGGCATTGTGATTATCTTCTTGCTTTGGATGAGGGGGAGAGATGTGGTCTGTTGGCCATGTCCGTTGGTGTGTGTTTTGTAAACATAGTCTGTGTTTGTAGATCATTGTTCGTTTGATCTGGATATTTGTCGGATTTAATTTCATGCGAAGATATTGTTTTCATTGATAGAAAAAATCATGGGTTTCTTTCCATGTAGAGGAATGATTTGATAGGGATGAGCAAGCAATCTTACATGCAAGCTGTGCTGGAGGGTTTAAGGGCTGTGTCTACTGTGGAAGTTGATTTTGCTTCTCATGAATTGAGCACGGAAGTTCCTGTGAATTCTCCTGATATGAATGATGTCTGCTACAGAACCGAAAGAAAGAAGATATATGTTAGGCTTGTTCTCAGCATTGACCGTCGTGAGACTACTGCAGCAGCGATGGAAACTGTATGTTATCAGAATTTGATAACAAAGTGTTTTCTAGTTCATATGCTGTTCAAAGACTAAGGCTTTTGCTTTGCCTTGCCGTGCTGTTTAAAGGTTGAGCTTGCACTGAAACTGAGGCATATGGGGGTAGTGGGTATTGACCTTTCTGGCAATCCTATCATTGGTGAATGGTACATTTTCCTACCAGTAGTCTTGTATTGTCGATTATTATTTTATTGCACTTCGTTTGTAGGTGTTTATCCTTGATTTTCCTTGCATCTATGGCAGGTCAACATTTTTGCCAGCTTTGAAGTTTGCTAGGGAGCAAGGTCTGTTTATCACTCTCCACTGTGGCGAGGTGCATTTGGCTTAACCCTGTTTCTGAATTCTTGTTTGTATTATGTATAGAATTACCCTGATTAGTGTATTTTATTTCATAACTTAGTGCTTTTAGGTACCCAATCCGGATGAAATTCGGGCAATGCTAGACTTTCAGCCTTGGAGACTCGGCCATGCTTGTTGCTTTGAAGAGGAAGAATGGAGAAAGTTGAAGTTGTCCAGGATCCCGGTTCGATATTTATGTCCATGCCTATCCTTCATAGATATTCTATTTTTCTTTGGCCTGCTTATAATTGATGTCGTGGCAAAGCCAATATACCACCAGTCCTAATGCCTAATAACTTGTGCGTGCAATTTTTTTCTTTTCTTGTCATTATCCATCAGGCACTTCTCTTCTATTCTGTTAGAGTATGCGCTAAATGCTTTTTACTTGTCATTGACCAAGGTTTTTCCTGCTTTTGGGGTTTAAGTGTTTTGCAATGAAAATAATCGAATAGAATTGCAAGCGTTAGTGATGTGTGAAAAATGATTTGTGTGCTATAGTTAATAATCATCAACCCATCAGCCAAAGTTTTTCTGATCCAACGTATATTTTACCAGCTAAACTTTTTTTGTGATCATTGCAGGTTGAGATTTGTTTGACATCCAATATTCGAACTGAAACAATCTCTTCCGTCGATGTTCATCATTTTGGTGAGATGTTATAATTCTTTCTGGATTCTCTCTCTCTCTGTCTCTCTCTCTATACTTAATTCTTTGCTTCAAGTGAAATCTAGAGGTAGAATCAAGAAAATTTAATTTTACTTGTTTCTCTCTTTGTACTAAAACTTCAAAAAGGTGAGAGTTCACTGATGATTATGACTTTTTTTTCGTACATTTCTGTGGATAACTTTGGTGTCTCTTCTGTAACACCATGTTTACATTGCAGCTGATTTGTATAATACAAAACACCCAATAGTCCTATGCACTGACGACACGGGTGTGTTTTCTACCAGTCTTTCTGACGAATACATCCTTGCTGCATCAGCATTTGGTAGGTCTTATAATATATTTGCATGTAAATGGAATGTGCATTGGTGCTTGTATTTTCTCTAACTTTTGGTTCATTTTCCAAATATATTAAGGTCTTGGAAAAAGGGAGATGTTCGAGCTAGCAAGGAATGCCGTTGACTTTATTTTTGCTGGTGATGAGGTGAAAAAGAAATTGATGGAAATTTTCGCTTCAACTGCTAGGATGCTGGATTTTCAGTAAGAATTTCATTGAGCTGCAGAAAAACCTCTTTCATTATGGTAATATTTAGCATTGTTTAGAAACAGTTGGCAAAACCATTAAATTTATGTGGAGGGTCAGTCAGTGTGTCTTGTATCAGTTTCTATCAATAATTGCAGTGAACACTAACTTTGCTGAGAAGAGGTCTTCTTGGTAGCTCTAATGGAGTTTTATTAAGCTACTGCAGTGGGGTTGTTTTCATTGCTTTCTGCTAATTTTAAAGCATAAGTATCCAGTTGAGTTGTTTGATCTTTTTAGATCGAGATTGGGTTAGTTTATGGACTTATAGTTCTGAGCTGTCAAGTAAATCCTAGTGAAACAATGGGGTGGGCACTTGTCTGTAGACTTTGCTGCCTCATTGTTCTCTTTTGTTTAAATGGGCACTTGTCTTCATGAAAGAGAATTTGAGGCACAATTGATGTGTCAGTGCTGGTGAATGAGGTATTTATCATCACATTTGATGTTGGTAGGGTCATGTCATTGTAATAGTTTTCATCATATGGCCTCTGCAATAAGAAATATTTGAATGAGAATGTAGAGAAAGCCACCTCCTTTGTTATGGGAGAACCTTTGAAGAATGAGCGTATGCAGTCCGTCGTTGCGGGGTTTGGAAATGATTAAATGTACATAGTATTACTTTACAAATTGAGAGACTATTTTCGTGACTCGAATCTGTGACCTTTATGCCATAATGAAATAATCTTACCATCAAGAAGAATCATTTGTTAGGATGAAAGCACTTGTTCTCTTGGAATAAAGAAGAATCTTTTTAATAGTTAGAACACCAATTTATCAAGAATTAATTGTCGCCATTTTAAAACTTATTTATCAAATTACTATTGCTGTCAAAAAAAAATGTGAATTGAGAACACACTTTCAATGAAAAATATAAAAAAGTATGTTTTCAAAATTTAATAAACAAATTTAAAACTATGATGTTTGGTAAATAAATTTCAAAACAATGGTAGATTGATAATTGACCCAATACATCAAGGGCTTATTTGGTTGGTTTTTTGAGAGGGATTTAGATTGGTTTGTTCAAACCCTTTCAAATTCAAAGATAGAATTCAATATTTAATGTCGTTCATACCCATGTTTGGTATGTGCACGGATATATGACTATTGTGATAATATATTTGTATTTAAATGAGTATTGTGTTCCTTAATCAATTTAATTCAAACTCATATTTGTTTTACGTAAATGAGATATATAAGGGTATAAATGTTATTTGCTAGTTTAAACTCATTAACCCACATATCAAACCCACTCCCTCCAGAGGGTTGCATGAAACGCATGAACTTGAGTTTAATTCTCGGGTCTAATGCGGCTTGCGTTTCAAACCTTAGATTAATTATGCATTTATCAAATATGGGATTATTGAATTTTATTTTCCAACCCATATTTAAAAATCCTCCAAACCCACCCTACCAAAAGGGGTGGAAGTGTGAAGTTTCTGATCATGGATCTTGTAGTAGCTACCAGTATCAAGTGGGTTTGGTTCTTTATTAATTTATTTTTTTCTCAGTTCCTTGTCTTTCATATCATTCCCACATGTGAATGATTTACTAATAAAAAAATAAAAAATATATTAAAAGAGATCTCGATGGGATATGAACTGCAGAGTGAAGTTTCAAACCCATATATCCATGATCCAGGAAAGTTTCAAATCTATAACAGAGCAATGATCATTAAATCAAAGTGTACAGACTCTTTGATATGAGTCCTGACCAAATACCAAGAGGAGTATTAAATTGGGGACTGTCATTGCATCGAACGGTTGCTGTGTATTTAATTACTATCTCTCCCTCCTTCACTTTATTTTCTCGGAAAAGGTTACCATATCGAAAGAGAGATCGTACAAAAAATTATAATAATTTTAGGTTAAGTTATAATTTTTTTTAAGGTATAAGTTATAATTTTTTTGAGGTATAAATTACAATTTTTAAAAGTCAAGTTACAACTCAAAAAGAAAAAATTATAATTGATCAGGATAAATCTATGATCGATCATGTGTATTTATGATCGACCATAAACTTCTCTCTTTTAAATTGTAATTTTATTATAAAAGTAATAACTTTCGGTATGATACTGTATACGGTACTAGAGAGTTTCCCTATATTCTTTCTGGTTATAAATCACTTACTATTAATTTAAAAAGGATTGATTGTCTGTAAGTGAATCTTTTAAAATTAATTGAAAATATGTTAAAGAGAATTTAGATCGTTTATGTACCATGTGTGGGCCTGTTTAGAGGTATGAAAACTTTATCTTTTGTTGGATTCAAAGAAAAAGAAATCTGGTTCGTTTAGATTTAGATTTATTAAACGACTTTTTTATTAGTTTTTTTAGAGTTTTTATTAGCACCAAGAAAAAGTTAAAAAATCGGGCTTATCCAAAGACTTTAAAAACAAAAATCGATTTTTTCAGAAACACTTTAAATGAATCCAAGAATCTTTTAAACTATAACTTTTTTATTTTATTTTTCAAATATTTGTTTCGTACTCAAAAAATCAGCTTCAAACGAGCCCATTGTATTTTAATTAATCAACGAGGTTAATTCTTCNCACTCAAAAAATCAGCTCCAAATGAGCCCGTTGTATTTTAATTAATCAATGAGGTTAATTTTTTCGGAGAAAATAGTCACTTATCAAGGTAGAGTTTGTCTTATTAATTTTTTTGAAAAATTATCATTTAATGGTATCAAAGTTATGATTTTGTGAAAGTCTAAGAATTTTGATCTATCTTAGGATTGATCTCAAGGTTTTTTAGTTTAATCTTTTTTATTTTAAGTCATAACTTGACCGAATTGGATTTTTTTGACGTTTTATTCAAAAATTTCTTTGCAACACTAAAAAAATTCCTCTTCTACTATGTTTGCAAGTCACCCAAAGAGAGGACAGTAAAGAACTCAAAAGTCAAATGTAGTGGTTGGTTGAGTATTTGATTACACACCCATTCACAATATTAAATGTCGTGTGGTATATGCTTGAGTCTTGATCCTCTTTTTGAGTCTTCCTTTAATTTTAAAACAATGCTAGAAAACTCTTATTAACGGTGTATGTGAACCAAATACTCTTAAAGAGGGAATCTTTAATTTATCATTTGTGGTGCTATAATGACCGGTTTGACTCTCTTAAATCAATAACTAAAATTCATATCGAACATTCTCTGATGAGCGAAAATTTCAAAGTAACGTCTCTGCTAATCATATACTCTTAGAGGGTGAATATTCAATTTGTCATATGTGGTGTTATAACGATGAGTTTGGCTTTTTTAAGTTAATAATAATGGTTTAAATCGAACATTTTCTAGCGAGTGAAAAACTACAAAATAACATTTTAAGAGGTCATTACGTTTGATCTGATCATCCTGGATCACCCTTTTTATCAGGAAAAAAAAAGGAGACGACTCTTATTAACAGTGGTGGTTTTAAGAACAGAGTTGTGCTTATAAGAAGACACTCAATGACGGTAACTTCTAAGTGATCCCCTATTAGAGTCTACTCTTAACAGTTGTATAATGGGTTTCTTTCTCTCATCGTTTAGGGTATGGTTTATAGTAAAAAAACAAAAAATAGAGAGAGAAGGGAGGGGGTTGGGTTTTTGGATTGTATGTGAATTAGACAACTGTTGAAGTTGCTATCATTTTAATGATTTGGTGGATTATAATTGCTGGTGTGAAAGTGATCTCATTAAATATGAAAATGCACAAATTTTGGAAAGAGTATCAAATACAAGCAAAGCTATGAATTTCTCTAATCTTCTACACTCTACAGAATAAGAACAGTGGAAAAAGTATCATAAATGAAAACAATAAATAATTACATTCTTTTAATATGATATATATATATATGGCGGGACTCTAGTTGGCTCTACAGCCCCCAGATTGACATGTAAAATGACGAAGCTGTTGTAATGTCTATGAGGCGCCGAGGTATGGTGTCCCGGAGGAGCCGAGTACGACAGCTGACACTACATTTAATACGATATAACCTTTCATTTATGACAGAATGAATGATGGTGACAAAACTATTAAATGTGCGCCTGCGAGCATCTGCAGTCTGAGAGTCTAGACCTACCATCATGATGGCTACTACGCCAAGTATATATGATCAGCGCTCCCAGAGAAAATGTTTTCCCGAGTATTCAATGCTCACCTGAGGGTGTCAGACGTCAATCTGGGAGATATGAATATTCGGAGAAGAGCATAAATGCTCAACATGAAGCCGGACAATTGTCCCATCATCCTAGCATTGAATAGGAAAAGACTTGAGTGGAGAACACTCGTTGCACGAGGGATGACATGTTAGACATTAAATGTCCAGATGAGATTGAAGGTCTTTGACAATCATTGTTAATTTAGGTATAAATACTCTTTAAAAAAATTGACAAAGGTACGCAAGATTGAACAAAAAAAAAGATTATTGATTGAGCTTGAATCTCAAATCTTAAGACTGACTTAAGTTTCGGAGGTGATTAGCCGAATGTTCACCTTACCCCTTTTTTTTTGACTCTGTGATTGTGTCAGGTTCATTAAGTTTGAGGTCGTTATCTCAAACTATTGCAGAAATTATCCCGTNACAAAGGTACGCAAGATTGAACAAAAAAAAAGATTATTGATTGAGCTTGAACCTCAAATCTTAAGACTGACTTAAGTTTCGGAGGTGATTAGCCGAATGTTCACCTTACCCCTTTTTTTTTGACTCTGTGATTGTGTCAGGTTCATTAAGTTTGAGGTCGTTATCTCAAACTATTGCAGAAATTATCCCGTACAATGTATATATATATATATGTAAAACACTATTACATTTTGGGAATAATATATTAGATTTGTTTANGCTATCTCAAACTATTGCAGAAATTATCCCGTACAATGTGTATATATATATGTAAAACACTATTACATTTTGGGAATAATATATTAGATTTGTTTAAAACTGACTTAAAATCTCAATTTTTTTTTCTAGAAGAAAATAAACCTAATCTGTTTAGACCCGGATTTACGGAGAAGTCTTTTCATTAATTTTTTAGGCAAAAACAATTTTTATGTCAGGTGTTTATATACCCAAGTCGTTACTCTGAGCTCAATAAAAACATACAATACTTTTGAAATTTTTTGTCTTGATAAACTCTTATTGGTGGGATTTTAAGATCTCTGATTGCGCTTGGAATATCTCTCGGAACCAGACTTAACTAATTGACATAATGACTAACTACCAAATCTCCATAAAAATTGTAAGACTCGAAATCTCAACATCAAAGTAAAGAGTAAAGCCGANTTGTTACTCTGAGCTCAATAAAAACATACAATACTTTTGAAATTTTTTGTCCTGATAAACTATTATTGGTGGGATTTTAAGATCTCTGATTGCGCTTGGAATATCTCTCAGAACCAGACTTAACTAATTGACATAATGACTAACTACCAAACCTCCATAAAAATTGTAAGACTCGAAATCTCAACATCAAAGTAAAGAGTAAAGCCGATAATCCCATTAAACTACCTAGTTGGTGATTATAGTTTAACTCTTTATTTTACCTAATAAATGTAAAATAAGTAATCCAAGGATGCTGTAATAATAGGTCACTGGTTCAGAAATAAAATTCTAAATAGACTATTCTATTGAAAAAAAAAAGAGAGAGAAAGTAAACATAAAAGAGTATAATACGACATAGCCTTCTCTGCGAAGAAAACAGTTAAAAGACTATTATAGCCTTTATATGACTGACACGTCGTCGTATTAATCGTCTTGTTCAATTCAACAACGAAATATAAATCGTAAAACCCCGAGACTAACGATCTCATCTCATACACGCACACACATAATTCTTCAGTTTCATTTCCGATCTCTTTCTCTCTCTCTCTCTCTCTCTGCATACACAGAGTCTGTAATGCCAATTGCACACTCTCTCTCTTCAACTCGGAAGTTTTCTCAAATTTCAACACAAAAAAAAAATGTTAATACCCATTTCTTAATTCAATAGCAATGAAGATCTGATGGTAATTGAGTTCTAACTGTAATCGCCATGTCTTGGGGACTGGGTTGGAAACGACCTTCAGAGATCTTCCATTTGACTCTAAACTATGGCACCGATGATTTTGCTGATGATTATACCCCTAGATCATCCGCATCGTCAAGATCATCCTCGTCCTCATCAATTACATCATCACAAGACCCGCAAGACCAGCAATTAGGGTTCAGAATCGATCTTGATTGGAATGCCGTAGATGACGAAGACCAAGTGGCTCTGAGGCTTCAGTCTCAGGTCATGGTTGCTTTGCCTTTGCCACAAGACACGGTGGAAATTGAATTGAAAGAAAATTCGGAAAATTCTGAGTCTGAGGGAAATGTGAGGGTAGGGGTGGAAATGAGGGTGGTGAAGAGGAGGGAGCCGTTGAAAGTGGTGATAATGAACCGGGCCGCCGGGTCGGGGCAGCAGAGTGATGGAATGGGGGTTTTCAATAGGTTGTTGAGATCGAATTTCGCGACAAATGGGTTGGGAACGGTGGATGGGGTGGTGGTTATTGCTGAGCATTGGAGAAGTGTCACTGTGGTTAGTTTATGTGGTGTCGGATTGTCGGTGAGTGCTTGAACTTTATTATATAATATGAATGGATGAATTATTCATTTCTGGCGTTATTTTTTTGTTTGGTATTGAGAAAATGTATGTAAATCAGGGAGAAAGTTTTGAATTTTATTATGTCTCTGTTACTTGCCGGAAAAAAATGTCTCTGTTGTAAGAAATGAAAGTCCTGAAGAATTCAATGCCGGAATTGTTGATTTACTTCGGTATGAATGATATTATTTGTCTGTTATTTTGAGTTTGAGATATTTTGCTGTTTGGTTGATGAGAAAATGTATGGGAAATAGGATCAAAGTTTCAAACTTTATGTTGTGTGCACTTTCAGAAATGGAATACATAAATTGGGATAGCCTGAATGTTGGAATACATTGGATTGAGAGCTTTTATTGACTATATATAGGAGTGTTTTTATAGTTTTGGTTATTGAGCTATTGTTCTCTCTGGTGACAGAGAAACATGGGAAATCAGAAGAAAAAGAAGTTGTGAAATGCTTTGTTTTTTTTTAACCAATGGATGTTTTGATTAGGAAAACCTAGATGGTTGAATTACATATAATCTTATGTTTTTTTTCTTTTTGGGAGACCCTAAATAATGAGAAGAGTAAGAGTTGAATTCCTTGTGGATACTTTGTTACAGTTATTAAATAAAAAAGATGTTTGTTTTGGTTTCGAACTACGTATAGTGTTGATTCTTTGCATTATATTTTGTAGTTCCTTTCATTTTGTGCTGTGGTATTAGTACTTGTTGGCTGAAGTGGACACATGATTCACTTGGGAACTTGCCTTGATGTTAAAGTATATTCATTGACTTTGTGCATTTTTTAGTTTATGTTGCTAAGGAGAGATTGAAAATTTTGAAGAAAATAAAACTGTATGTTACCTTTTTCTTACTCAACCATGGATGCAACTTGAAGTTTGGGATATCAGTCATTTTTAGCTTGATCATGTAGAATGCCAATCGAGTTATTTGACTCGGTGCTGAGTTAGAGATCAAGAACTTTTTGAACCTCTCTGGTTTTACTTCATGTAAGTGGGTTTAGTTGAAGTCAAAGTGCTCTTCTACTAATGGAATCAACAATTGACTAAATAACACACCATGGCATATGGCTGATACAATATAAAAAGTAGGCGGGAGGTCTTTAATGCTGCATTGATTCTACTTCTCACATAAATTTATGTTTGTTCAAGTAGAAGTTGATACTTTTACTACTATTAAAGAACTAGATTAGAAGCCCCTTTAATCCTCATGGCTATTTCAAAGCGTAAAGAGTCTTGTCCTTGAAAGTGGGATGCATGTAATTGAAATACCATTGTTTTTTGCATTTATCCGCAGGTGTTGCCAGTAGATTTAACTCGATTACCTCTCCTTGAGAAGCTATATCTTGATGGCAATAAGCTATCAATTTTGCCACCTGAGCTTGGTGAGCTTCAAAACTTGAAAGTTCTTACGGTTGACTACAACATGCTGGTTTCAGTACCCGGTAAGCTTGGAATTATATATCTGTTTATATTGTGTGAATCTAAATAGTACTTTTTTAGTGCCCGTCCCATATTTAGATTCATTTGAAATGGGTTTGATACTTTTACTTCATTATAGGAAATTTAAGGTTACCCTCGAAATATAGGGGAAAGATAAAGTTTAGTACAGTGACTTCTCCAAAGGATTTACAATATAGGATATTTAAAATTAGGAATGGACTCCAAAATTGGACATTGAAAGTACACCCTAAACCATATCATTTCATAACAAATACAATGAACTAAACTGATACAAATAAACATTTCTCCTTCCCCGGGGCTGGGATCTAAGGACAAATGTATTAGTTGTAACTTATTCATTTGCTTGTCTTGGCTGGAATCTGTGAACAGTTGAATTGAGACAATGTGTTGGACTGGTTGAATTGTCTCTGGAACACAACAAGCTGGTCCGGCCTCTTCTTGATTTCAGGTCATTTTACTCGGTATTCTTTGATGAGTTATATTCTCTTACGTTTTTTTGTAAAAATTATTATCTCTTGAGAACTAATGTCTATCTTCAGCTTAATGGCAGAGCTATGGCCGAGTTACGTATACTGAGGTTATTTGGCAATCCTCTTGAATATCTTCCTGAAATTTTACCCTTGCACAAACTTCGCCACTTGTCTCTTGCAAACATTAGGATTGTGGCGGATGACAATTTAAGATCCGTGAATGTTCAGATAGAGGTATTGGATGATGCAGCACTTTTTCCAACTCTTCTGCAAAGCTCTTTAGCTTTCGTAAGTTGAAGTATACGTTTTTTTTCTGGGGATTATTGCAGATGGAGAATAGTTCCTACTTTGTTGCATCGCGACATAAACTCAGTGCCTTCTTCTCTCTCATTTTCCGATTTTCATCTTGTCACCACCCTTTGTTAGCATCTGCTTTGGCGAAAATAATGCAAGATGAAGGGAACCGTGTGGTTGTTGGTAAAGATGAGAATGCAGTGCGGCAGCTTATTAGTATGATTAGTAGTGACAATCAACATGTGGTACGATATTCTTATTGGCTGGATCATTCCTGTTTGTCTATGTTTCTGTCAGGTAGTTTGTCTAATTGGTTTTGCTTTCTTTTAGGTTGAACAAGCATGCTCTGCTCTTTCATCTCTGGCCTCAGATGTTTCTGTTGCAATGCAGTTGATGAAATCTGACATCATGCAACCCATTGAAAGAGTATTGAAATCTGCTGGTCCAGAAGAACTAATTTCAGTTTTGCAAGTTGTTGTCACATTGGCTTTTACATCTGATTCTGTATCTCAAAAAATGTTGACTAAAGATATATTGAAATCATTGAAATTGTTATGCGCCCATAAAAATCCGGAGGCAAGCTCGCTACTTTCTTAATACAGTTTGCCCTTTTTTTTTTAACTTACCCTCTTATAATTGAAGATTTATCTTTAAATAGGTACAAAAGTTAGCTTTATGTGCAGTTGGAAATTTAGCTTTCTGCTTGGAGAACCGCCGCATTCTTGTAACTTCTGAAAGTTTGCGGGAGCTTCTTTTGCGGCTGACAGTTGCTTCTGCTCCACGTGTGAGTAAAGCTGCGGCTCGTGCTCTGGCGATTCTAGGTTGGTTTGTTTATATTATAACTTTCTATTGAATATTGCTTAAATCTAATGGATCATCTTTTTTACCACCTTAGGAGAGAATGAGAATCTGCGGCGTGCTATTAGAGGGAGACAGGTGTCAAAGCAAGGATTGCGCATACTTTCAATGGATGGCGGTGGCATGAAAGGTCTGGCAACTGTACAGATTCTTAAAGAAATTGAGAAGGGTGCGGGGAAGCATATACATGAGCTGTTTGACCTTATATGCGGCACATCAACAGGCGGCATGCTTGCTGTTGCACTCGGAATCAAACTAATGTCCTTGGAAAAATGTGAAGAAATATACAAAAACCTTGGTGAGACTTTGCATCAAGAAAGAGTAGCTAATTGCTTCATGGTTTCTTCAGTAATTCATTTTTTTTCCAATTTGATCCCTCAGGAAAACATGTGTTTGCTGAACCCGTCCCAAAGGACAATGAAGCAGCAACTTGGAGAGAAAAATTGGATCAGCTTTACAAGAGCTCATCACAGAATTTCAGAGTTGTTGTGCACGGATCTAAAGTATGGAATGACTATTTGCTTTCAATGATTTTTTTTATCGAAGACTTGAAAAATCAGATATCCTGGAACAAAGTAATTTAAAATAAATCCTTAATAGAACTTCAAATTTCAGCTGTTAATTTTTTTTAGTCTATTTATATGTTTGTGTTTGTGTTCTACTATTATTTCTCTTCTTTTGTGCTTTCTTTTTCTCTTCTTTAGTGCCTTCCCCATCTCTATATCATGGATATTTGTGCTAAGAAATATTTGAGGAGCTCTCGGATGAGACTTANAAAGTTAGCTTTATGTGCAGTTGGAAATTTAGCTTTCTGCTTGGAGAACCGCCGCATTCTTGTAACTTCTGAAAGTTTGCGGGAGCTTCTTTTGCGGCTGACAGTTGCTTCTGCTCCACGTGTGAGTAAAGCTGCGGCTCGTGCTCTGGCGATTCTAGGTTGGTTTGTTTATATTATAACTTTCTATTGAATATTGCTTAAATCTAATGGATCATCTTTTTTACCACCTTAGGAGAGAATGAGAATCTGCGGCGTGCTATTAGAGGGAGACAGGTGTCAAAGCAAGGATTGCGCATACTTTCAATGGATGGCGGTGGCATGAAAGGTCTGGCAACTGTACAGATTCTTAAAGAAATTGAGAAGGGTGCGGGGAAGCATATACATGAGCTGTTTGACCTTATATGCGGCACATCAACAGGCGGCATGCTTGCTGTTGCACTCGGAATCAAACTAATGTCCTTGGAAAAATGTGAAGAAATATACAAAAACCTTGGTGAGACTTTGCATCAAGAAAGAGTAGCTAATTGCTTCATGGTTTCTTCAGTAATTCATTTTTTTTCCAATTTGATCCCTCAGGAAAACATGTGTTTGCTGAACCCGTCCCAAAGGACAATGAAGCAGCAACTTGGAGAGAAAAATTGGATCAGCTTTACAAGAGCTCATCACAGAATTTCAGAGTTGTTGTGCACGGATCTAAAGTATGGAATGACTATTTGCTTTCAATGATTTTTTTTATCGAAGACTTGAAAAATCAGATATCCTGGAACAAAGTAATTTAAAATAAATCCTTAATAGAACTTCAAATTTCAGCTGTTAATTTTTTTTAGTCTATTTATATGTTTGTGTTTGTGTTCTACTATTATTTCTCTTCTTTTGTGCTTTCTTTTTCTCTTCTTTAGTGCCTTCCCCATCTCTATATCATGGATATTTGTGCTAAGAAATATTTGAGGAGCTCTCGGATGAGACTTATCATTATACCACCCTGAAGTGAGATTTTTGTCTTCTTCCAGCACAGTGCAGATCAGTTTGAGAGGCTGTTGAAGGAGATTTGTGCTGATGAGGATGGCGATCTCTTAATTGAGTCAGCGGTGAAAAGGGTTCCCAAAGTTTTTGTTGTATCAACTCTGGTCAGCGTGGCACCAGCTCAACCTTTTATATTCCGAAATTATCAGGTTTAAACCCAAAGAGTTCTTTTGTTAGCCAATAACTAAATTTCTACTTTCTCAATAGAAATTGTATCAGTTGTTGGTGCTTCTGTATCGTAGTGTACTATTATCACTATTGTAAACGTTACGGGTGTGTTTGGTTTAGGCATTAGGATGGAATCTTGGACAAAATAATGTTTGGACCCACCTTATTCCATTTACTCCCTTGTTTGGATATACACTTTGGGGCTGGTATTATCACTTAAAAATATTCCCTGCCCGGATGAATAGTGTTTTTAAACCCACGTATAGCCTCTTGGGGGATGTTTTGACAAAAGATATTTTTATCCTAAAAAATCTCTAGGATATAATTATCTTGAGTGTTCTTTAGTAATTTGATATATATACCATCATTCAATACTCTATCCAATTGGATGGGATAAATCTGGGGTCCACTTTTTCTTAATATTTGAACTAAACATGGGATAAGGAGACATTATCACTATAATTAGTCCATGGTCCGGATGGATGGTTATGGGATGGACGGGTTTGTCCAATCCAATACTATCGAATGCCTTAACTATACACACCGGACGGGTTTGTCCAATCCAATACTTTCTTTAATTGAAGTATTGCTTATGTTTCTTTCTTTCAAGTGCAGTACCCTCCTGGCACACCAGGAATTCCTCTTGTGATTTCAGAAAACTTGGCTAACAGTGTGATAGGAACAACAATTACTGGGACCCAAGTTGGATATAAACGCAATGCTTGTATTGGAAGTTGTAAGCATCATATATGGCAAGCTATAAGAGCATCGTCTGCAGCTCCTTATTACCTTGATGATTTCTCTGATGGTAGTTGCTTCCCGTGTTTGCAAAATGATTGGTATTTTGCATCGCATTTTAGAAGCATTATCTCCTGAGACATCTCCATTTGTTTTCTTCTGCAGATGTATATCGCTGGCAAGATGGTGCCATTGTAGCTAATAATCCTACTATTTTTGCCATACGAGAAGCACAACTTTTATGGCCTGATACAAGAATTGATTGTTTAGTGTCAATTGGATGTGGTTCTACTCCAACAAAGGTAACCTCAAAGTTTGAATATATACCTGGGTGGTGTGAACACATATGAAGACTTCAAGGCATTGTGATAATTGTGCATATAGATAATTTTTGGGAACCATGTCGAATTTTTGTGGTGAAAGAGAGCTTTTTGATAATTGATAGGCACCTTAATGTTTTGGGGTACAAATGTTTGCTTGCTTGTGCATAAATATATTTGAAAACATATTCCTTGATATAAGATGTCATTCCTCGTTTACTGGATCAATCTTCGAAGAAGTCCTTTCCCCTTTTGCTTCTTTTTCCCTCTTTATTATCTATATTTATTCTCTCTTGTTTGTTTTTTTAATTGCAGGGGGTAGTTGTGACCTGTAACACTTATTGGATGATCCTGGTGCTACTAATTGATTATTTTTCTATTGTACTTTGTGCTTTACTAGGTTCGGAAGGGTGGGTGGCGTTATTTGGATACTGGGCAAGTATTGATTGAGAGTGCATGCTCAGTGGACCGGGTGGAGGAAGCTTTGAGCACATTGCTTCCTATGCTTCCTGAAATACAATATTTTCGGTTCAATCCAGGTGAAGTTTTGATTCATAAATATTTCATTTGGACACGTGACATTACACATTTTTCTCATTGTTTAAACCTTGGAAGCAAGTTGAGCTATGTTTGCCTGTTTCAAGTTGTTGATAAATTGTATAGGAAATATAGATGTTGAGTTGAGTTGATGATCCAGGAAACCGCCTGCTACTGAGTTGTCAGAATTGACACATTTTAGTTTTAACATTTCTATGTTTATTTGCATTTGCAGTTGATGAACGGTGTGACATGGAGCTCGATGAGACTGATCCTGCTGTTTGGCTGAAGCTGGAGGCTGCAACTGATGAGTACATCCAAAACAACTCTCTGACATTCAAGAATGTCTGTGAAAGATTGCTGCAGAACCTGCATGATGAGAGATTGTCAGATAATTTGAAGTCTCATCAGTTCCTTAAGGCAAAGGATTCAAATTCTGGTATGGGTACTAGTTTTTTCTGTAGTTGCTGTAGGTTTTGTTTCTCAGATGTTATCTGATGTTGACCTTTTTGTATTTGACAGTGCTGGATGAGAATAGTCCCTCTTTAGGTTGGAGACGTAGTGTGCTACTTGTGGAAGCTTCTAATAGTCCTGATTCTGGAAGAGTTTTTCACCATGCTCGGTCACTTGAGACATTCTGTACTCGTAATGGAATAAGATTCACTCTTACGAATGGGGTATCAGGAACCTCTAAGGCAGCACCAGGAATGACATTTCCGACACCTTTTGTGTCACCTTTGTTCACGGGAAGCTTTCCATCAAGCCCACTTCTATACAGTCCTGATGTTGGCCCCAGGGTTGGCAGAATTGATTTAGTCCCACCTTTAAGCTTGGATGGATTACAACCTGGAAAAGCTGCCACTTCACTACCAGAGTCTCCTTCTGGACCCAGACAGCTTTCTTTGCCCGTCCTGTCGTTGCACGAAAAACTACAGAATTTGCCACAAGTTGGAGTTATACATTTGGCTCTCCAAAATGACATGTGTGGCTCCATTTTGAGGTTAATTTTCTACTTTCTTGTTCCTCTTCCGTGCTGCTTTTCACATGTAATTGTTGTCTGATTGGTTCCTAAATAAGCTCTTGGATGTGTATGCTGTAGTTGGCAGAATGACGTATTTGTGGTTGCTGAACCTGGAGAACTTGCAGATAAGTTTCTGCAGAGTGTTAAATTTAGCTTGTTGTCCATGGTGCGGGGCCAACGCAGGAAGTATGCATCAGTCATTACCAACATCACAACTGTTGCTGATCTGGTTGCATGTAGGCCACACTTCCAAATTGGCGGTGTTGTCCACCGTTATATAGGACGCCAAACACAAGTATGCATCTTTGACTTCTGCCTTCTCTTTTCTGTTAATCTATTTTGTTATTGGAGACTAAGATGATGAAAAGTGACTATTATCTTTCTGCTATGTTATGAAGGTAATGGAAGACGATCAAGAAATTGGGGCATATATGTTTCGTAGGACAGTCCCTTCTATGCATTTAACTCATGATGATGTTCGTTGGATGGTATGTTGTTTTATGTTTGATATTTTGGTACTCATTTTCCTTGGGATTATTGGAAAAACTTGTTGATAATATAAGGGACGTTTGTTGAGCTTCCATGGTCGACTTGTTTGCTAAAATTTTTTTTATTGTTCAGCTGCGAATCAATTTATCTGCCATCTGTTATATTTTCATCNTAGTTGATAATATAAGGGACATTTGTTGAGCTTCCATGGTCGACTTGTTTGCTAAATTTTTTTTTATTGTTCAGCTGCGAATCAATTTATCTGCCATCTGTTATATTTTCATCCAAATGGAGAATGACAAGCAGAGTTTTAAACCTAAGATAACGTTTTAGTAGGATTATTTAGTGCTGTACCTGCATTCTTTTTTTTTTTGGATGGCATTAAAAGCATGCAATTATCATATTTTTTAAGTCAGTTCTTCTTGATGATATACCCTCTTGTCTTTTTGGATAATTTGGGGGAATCAAAATCTTAGAAAAGTCGGTGAGAACCTAAAAGTTGGGCAAGTGAACGTATTGAAAATAATGGCGTATTTATCATATCTGCAAAGCCAGCTGAATGTCTTATTGAAAATAATGGCTCACTAAAAGTTGGGCAAGTGAACGTTGCCACAGTGGTGATTGTTATGTTGTCTTGCCAATAATGTTGGCTCACCGCCTGTGAGAGTGGTGTTGTAAGCACAACATATGGTTGTGATATCGGGATACAGTATGCTCATATATTCTAATTATTGAATTTTTTTTTGACTTGATTACCGTGCTCTCTATAACAGACTATGCTTATGCTAATTACTTTTTGTAAGACTATAAAAGGGAATATTTTGCATATTTTAGTTGTTTTACTCTTCCGACTGATGCTTTGTCATTGAAACTTTCAGGTTGGAGCTTGGAGGGAAAGGATTATAATCTGCACGGGTCTATATGGGCCTACTCGAACTTTAATTAAGGCGTTTCTAGACTCTGGTGCCAAAGCTGTCATCTGTTCTTCAGCCGAACCCCAAGAAATGCAGTTGACGACATTCCATGGGCCAGGTGAGTTTAATGTTTTGGAGAATGGGAAGTTTGAGATCGGAGAGGAAGAAGTAGAAGATGAAGAGATAGAACCTGTCAGTCCTGCGAGTGACTGGGAAGATAGTGAGCCCGAGAAAAAAGGAGAACGTTCAATGTGTTTTTGGGATGATGATGAAGAGGAATTGTCTCAGTTCGTGTGCCAATTATATGATTCGTTGTTTCGGGGAGGGGAGAGAGTGGATGTTGCCTTACAGCATGCTCTATCCTCGCATCGGACCTTGAGGTATAAGTGCCATCTCCCCAGAGTACTGTAGTTTGTAAAAAGGAAACATTTATACATGAAACTGTAAACCAAAAGCAAGAAACAAAAAATAAATCAAAGAGAGAGACAAAAAAATACCTTTTGAAAAATGAGGAAGAGAAATAAGATGGAACATCCAATTTTGAGGCTTACCATTTGATTTGTACGTTATTTATATAATTAAATTCGTTGGGTTAACTAAGTGTTGCCTAACAATATAGCTATTTGAATTGGATTACTTTTTGTATATGCATTTACATTGTCCTCTAATATTATTTTGTTCAATATGTGCATATATTTCTCCTTTGATGTCATAAATATCTAATGCACCAATAATAGAGTAGAATAGTAGTAGTTGGGTATTGTGGATTTTATCTCTCATGAATACCCTAATCTTAGTATAGATGACCTGTTTTTGACCGAACTGAACTAGAAAGGAGATTAGTCGAGATGCGTTGAGGAGATTAATTAAGGTGCACTGCACTAGTAATAGAGTAGAATAGTAGTTGAGTATTGTGAGTTTTATCTCTTATGAATATCCTAGTTTCAGCGTGGATGATATGTCTTTAACCGAATTTGGAAAAAGATTAAAATCGAGTTGTACATAAGCTGGTTTGGACACTACTGACCGTTAGACTAAAAAAACATAGGCCGAAGAGCGATTGGCCTTCTCGGGCTTGCTTACCCTGGGTTTGACTTCCGGCAATGGCTTCCACATACACAGATGTTGCTTTCATCTGATTGTTACCACTCATCTACATCTGCCTTTATGTGAAAATAATATTGATTTGTCAATCAATCAAGTAGCATTTTTCTTGATTTATAGCGATGCGTTCTAACCCTTCATGGTGATTGATTACCTGTTGGATAGCGGTGATAGGTTGTGTCATGTCATTTTTATATCATGTCAATCCATAGCCCCTCTTAAAGAATTGAAATAATGCTGATTGTAATCGCAGGCTCTTCAACTATAATACTGGGTTGGATTAGAAAACTGTTCCACTACAAGAAGAAAGAAGAAGAATATGTTTCTTGTGTCTAGTAAGAATGTGTTGCATTCATTGCAAGCCTAGAACCACACAATGTGCAGAAAAGTGGATTATATTCCAACTATTCTATCATCCCACTTTTAAAATCATCAATAATATAAAGCAAAGGGAAAAAGAAGAAAAAAAAAAGCAAGAACACCCAGGACCACCATACTTAAAGATCAGTCGGGTGGATTCATCATATAGAAAACACCAAGAGTCCCACCTAAAACAGACTTCAAAGAATTTATCCTAAGCTAATTACACTAACAACAATCCGCCGGACAGTTCGGATGGGAAGAATTCAGGGTTTGTTTTTAGAGTCGATTATAGCAACAGTGTCCGATCTACCCGATTTGTGTGTGATTGCACCCACGAGGTTGGATCATTGTCATAAGTCCAAATAACACATGGTTGAGACAAATCTTCGACAACAACAACAAAAAATAAGTCTAGATTACCGTAGGGTGTAAACATATTGGGCGCGTAGGATTGGCAGAGATAAGTTTTGACCAAATTAAATTTTTCACTAGTTGCCTTCGGACAAAATGATCATAGGTTCTCAATTACTGTGATCATGATCCATAATGTGTAACATGAAGAAACCATTATATGACACAAGAAGTCAAAAAAGAGATGGTAAATTTGAGAACTTTTTACGTTTTTGATTGCAAAAACAAGAATATGATGATCACATCTCTATCGAGAGTTTCTTTTTCCCTCCACTTTAAACAAAACATGTCCATAAGCACAGTATAAAGGCAAATAAGAGGTGCACCAAACTCTAAGCAATCCTCCCTACCAAGCCAAAGACCTAACACCCTCAATCTTCTCCATTCAAAAGCCTCAGCTTACTTTAATATATTGAAAAATGCTATGTAGAACNAGCGTTCCTCAAAACGAAATTTGCTGTTTTTGTGTCTTCTCCGAGCAATGCTTCCTAATGGCGATCTTCAGGTCGCTGAGAACTCTAGCTCGAAACCCTAATTCCAGAGGTTTTCTCTCACTTTCTCTCTCTTCCTCAACTCCACTCCCATCCCCTTCACATATTCTGTCTCATCATCTCCAAAACCCCTTACTCTACCGCTCTAGATTTCTCTCTCCTCTCTCCAATGGACCACTCTTCCTCTCTTCTCCACCTTGGAAGCTCTCTCAGTCCGCCACTCCTCTCTACATGCAATCCGACGTTGTTTCTCTCCCAAATGTTGAACATTTGAATTTGCTTCGAAGACGAAAATTTCCGATCAATTTAGGGTTTCAGTCGGTTGTTTCTACTCGTGGTCTACTTAAGGAGACTAACAGGAAGGAGTTCATCCATCAAGAGGAAAATATTACTCGTGGTGGATTGACAGATAGTTTCGTGAATTTGCCGAATTTGATTTCGATGAGTCGATTGCTTTCGGGGCCATTGCTTGGTTGGTATGCCCTAATTTCTTTAAATTAGTTCATACACAGTATATCTAGGCATACATGAGAGATTATAGTTGTAGCTCTGTCTGCATATGGGCTTGGAAGGTAATACTGCTGAAGCTATGGGAATGAGTTCAAACTTGACATATATGTACTCTGTTTACTGCTATTTGTATAATTGGTTTCAGTTCAAATGTGCTATATGGTGAAAAAGAAAACTCGAGCTTGTGGGTGTACAGTGAATAAGATAGCTAGAGTTATGTTTATTGGATTGTTTATTGCCTTTTGGGTATGTGTTGTGGGTGCATGTGTTGCACTGCATTCGGCAATTCTCAGACAATACTTTTGCCAAAAAAATAAGGAAGGAAGGAAGGAAAAAAAAAAAGGGATGCGTCAGTTCTTGTATAAGAAGAAGATCAGTGGAATGCTCATTCTCTTCAATTAAAGTTTGATCTGGCCAGTTTGAAAATGCTATTTACAACTTCCTTTTCTATTTTATTTTGATTTACATTTTGCAGGATGATTACACAGGAAATGTATCTTCCTGCATTTGTTGGACTGGCCATCTCTGGGGCAACAGACTGGGTATGAATCCTGTACAAGTTTTTCATCTTAAATACAACTGTTAGGTTTTTATTAATTTTTGGGTGTCTTCTATCTCATAGCTAGATGGATACGTGGCCAGGAAGATGGGAATAAATTCTGTAGTTGGTTCTTACCTTGATCCTCTTGCTGACAAGGTAAAAAGGCACTTAGGCTTAGGGCGTTGGCGAGCTGCCTTTAATTGTTTGTTGTAGTTCTAGAACATTTCTGTTTCATTTAATCTCTGGGGTGGCTTAACATGTTCTGTATTATTATCTTGTGTTTATGCAGGTTTTAATTGGGTGTATTGCTTTAGCAATGGTAGATAGGGGTCTTCTGCATCGTAAGTAAAGATTGTATTTCTTTTTCTTTCTGATGGATTCTAGATTGTTGGAGAATTGCTATTGCAACTGAAGTTAAAATAAGATGTATCATGTATATGGATGCACAATTTAACATGGTAAACAGAGTAAATTTAGACACCTTGGCCTTTTAAATAAGTTTTATATTGGTTGTGTGTGCCATTCAAATGTGGTACTTCAACTATTTTGATTTCTTAAAGTTTTGTTATTCCATTTTGTCGTCTCGTTTTCTGAGGTGTTTAGGTTTGCCACTTCATCCTATGTATTGTTGGACTATTGGAGTAACAATGTGTACCAGGGTGTAACTAGATCAGTTTAATTGGTTAAAATATAAAACGATATGTAATTTGATCCATGTCCATTGTTCTGATAGACTGCAACTCCAGTCTAAACTAAGACAAACGTTCATACACATGCCTGAAAACACTCAAAACAATGTGATATATTTTAAATTCCTGGGTTGAAAACTCTCATTTAGTTTTTTGTTGGTAAAGCTGGACTTGTTGGACTAGTTGTGCTGCGTGATGTTGCCCTCATTGGTGGTGCAATATATAAAAGAGCTAGTAGCTTGGAGTGGGAGGTGAGGCTAACTAACTTTAACTTGTGTAGTTAGTTAGCTGAAGTATTTGTTTGTGCTGCACTACTTAGTTGAATTTCCTCTCTTATCAGTGGAAAAGTTGGTATGATTTCTTCAATCTTGATGGGACATCTCCCCAGAAAGTTGAGCCTCTCTTACTGAGCAAGGTAAGCTTTATGCTTGTTGGCCTGAATTTTCGGTGCACACTGTCCGTAGTGATTAGATAATGTAGGTAGCATGCAATATATGATTGGTGGAATACCAGTAGAGTTGGATACAGCCAGTCAGGAGGGAAGAAGAAAAGAGAATTAAACTGAGAGGAAAATGGTCCAAAATATGCAAGTAGATGACGACCAATATGTTGAGTGCACCAATGCGAAACGTTGTAAGAGTTGTATTTTTGTTAATCGTGGACTGGAATTCCCTCTCTCCTGTATAACTTAAATAGCAAACCCAAGAAGTTTCTTGATCTGGATTTCACATCGAAAGTACTGGCAGATGTCAGGTGATTGTTAGGACTTATGCATATAGTCAATATAATTAGAAAGATTATCAGATAAACTATCATGTTTGTGATTTATGCTCAAAAGCTGTTATTTGTCTAAGTGCTGCAATTTATTGACAGGTGAATACGGTTTTCCAGTTGGTCCTAGTTGCTGCAGCTCTTCTTCAACCGGAGTTTGGCACTGAGGAAACGCAGTCATACATTACATATTTGAGGTGATACCAGTTATAATTGTCTGTATTCAACTTTGTATTGATTAATCTCCAGAATCGGAGCCCACCATACATTTTGAATTATTGCAGTTGGCTGGTGGCTTCAACAACGGTGGCTTCCACTGCAGCATATGGAGCACAACAGTTTAGAAATGGATCTATGTTGATGACAAAGAACGTATAGACTAATTTCACATCACAGACTGTTTAAACACTTTTTTGGTCTATTGCCAGGTGGGTGCCATTTTCAAGGCTTTAAAATTAGAGAAGTTTTAGGTTTGTTTTTTGGATCTTATGCCACTANGAGCACAACAGTTTAGAAATGGATCTATCTTGATGAGAAAGAACGTATAGACTGATTTCACATCACAGACTGTTTAAACACTTTTTTGGTCTATTGCCAGGTGGGTGCCATTTTCAAGGCTTTAAAATTAGAGAAGTATTAGGTTTGTTTTTTGGATCTTATGCCACTAAGGAAAAGAGACAATTCGCTTCTAAAATGTCATATGATATCTTACAAATTTTGCGGATTATAGATGAGTTCATCTGCAGAAGTTGAAATTTGGCTCAATATGAGATGATAAATGGGTGGCAGATGTTACTTCCAATTGAGCTGTAAAGTAGAATTCTCTTTCTTTTACTGTCTNTATTAGGTTTGTTTTTTGGATCTTATGCCACTAAGGAAAAGAAACAATTCGCTTCTAAAATGTCATATGATATCTTACAAATTTTGCGGAATATAGATGAGTTCATCTGCAGAAGTTGAAATTTGGCTCAATATGAGATGATAAATGGGCGGCAGATGTTACTTCCAATTGAGCTGTAAAGTAGAATTCTCTTTCTTTTACTGTCTTTTTTTTTTTAAAAAAAAACATGCTATTGTATAGCACTAGTCAGGATGAAAATTGAATTTAATAGAAATCAATTACTTGTATAATTTGTGATGTTTATGATCATCATTACATGTTTTCAACAGCATTTGTTCCTCTCTTTGCCTAAACGCGGTGGTTATATTGGAAGATTTGTTTGTTCATACTGTCGTAGTGCATCTAATCCAACTGTTGGCCATAAACATGAGCAAAATATCTTTATGCTCATTTACTGTCTCAGCTTCATCTCTTCCAGCTACATTCTCATTCAAACTCACGGTGAGTAGAANTAAAAAAAAACATGCTATTGTATAGCACTAGTCAGGATGAAAATTGAATATAATAGAAATCAATTACTTGTATAATTTGTGATGTTTATGATCATCGTTACATGTTTTCAACAGCATTTGTTCCTCTCTTTGCATAAACGCGATGGTTATATTGGAAGATTTTTTTGTTCATACTGTCGTAGTGCATCTAATCCAACTGTTGGCCATAAACATGAGCAAAATATCTTTATGCTCATTTCATGTCTCAGCTTCATCTCTTCCAGCTACATTCTCATTCAAACTCACGGTGAGTAGAAAATCAAAATCAGAAGTAGCAGCCTCATTTCACATTATGGTTGTTGTTCAAGTTATCAACTGCTCTCTCTCTCTCTCTCTCTCTTACACCCTCAATGATGAGTGGAACCGTGGGACCTAGCAAGCCTTCACCATCTGCTGATAAGACTAAGATAAATTAATCGGCCGCCTCTACATGCATGACCACTAGGTACACTACTGTTAGCATTTGAATGACATCATAATCTGATTTGATTTTCCCATTTGTAAACTTTCCCCTCTCATCGCAGAGTCGGCCTTGNTCTCTCTCTCTCTCTCTCTTACACCCTCAATGATGTGTGGAACCGTGGGACCTAGCAAGCCTTCACCATCTGCTGATAAGACTAAGATAAATTAATCGGCCGCCTCTACATGCATGACCACTAGGTACACTACTGTTAGCATTTGAATGACATCATAATCTGATTTGATTTTCCCATTTGTAAACTTTCCCCTCTCATCGCAGAGTCGGCCTTGGCCTGTCTGAGTTCCAGGCCTCCAGCCTTGCACTACACAAGAAGGAAGCTTGGCAACACAATGCAAACATGGTAGAGGAAGATCTGTCAGTCCGAAACAAATATCCTGGACACTAACCCTGAATCCACTCTTAAAAGGTTTTAAAACAAGAATCAAATAACACAATCCTGCGCAATGAGTAAGTGGCACATCCATGATAACCATAATATGAAATACGTGCTCTTCTCTCCCAAAACTAATATACTAACAGAAAACCTGGACAGATTGATAGCAAAGTCTTCATGGTCTTGTATCCAAAGGTTTCCCGATTAAAAAGATGGGACAGACGGATCAACAGACTGGAGACCCATTCCGGTCAGTTCCTAATGCCCGAGCCTGTGTTACATAGGGGAACCAATGCTGTGAAAGTTAAAGGTGAAATTGGCGTAGGAAAGTCCAGTCAAAAGAATTATAAAAGCTAGTTTTTCAAGCAAATTTTATGAACTTGACAAAGAAGGTATACTGTACACAAACCACCAAGAAGTTCTGCTTGTTACAATACAGGAAAATTGAAGTACTCAAAAATGAAACCAATATGTGTTGAGTTCAAGGTGCCTCCAAGATAACACATGAAAGAGACAGCATGAGTTTTCAATCAAGAAATCGCTTCCATCAAAATAACCAAACACATATAGTGAACAACTGGTGAGAGAGATGCTTTAAAACCAACAGCTATCCAACCAAAAGAGCAAAGTCCTTTGAGATTGGTAATGAAAACAGATGCCAGCTAGTTCAACAATTCGAAATGAAAGAACTAACATATCTGAGATGCAAATTTTCATACAAATCTACCTAAGCTTTTCAATTTTATTACCGAATGCATTACATAACAAAAAAAAAATTCATACCATCTGTGTCTTGTTTACTTAGGCAAGTTCTCTTCAATTTCAGTCCACTTATCAGCAACCTTTGGAAATTTCTCCTTCATCTGCCGTGCAATCTGGTGAGCCTCATCAACCTTTGAACTGCTTGCAAGCCCATTCACAAGTGACTTCATGGTCGAAAAGTTGGGAACCCAACCTTTTTCCATACTCTCCTTACTGATTTTCAAAGCAGTCTCAAAATCCTCACCTTGACATAAGAAATGCACCAAAGTAAAATAGCAATCACTATCCGGTTTAAACCCACTATTCACCATTTTATTGAAGAAACTCTTCGCCTCGTCCAATTTCCCTTCCTTGCAAAACCCATGAATCAAATGACAGTAAGTCACTGAATTAGGTTTCATTCCCCTGGACAACATCCCATCAAGCAACGCCTTCGCCTCGACCGACCTGCTAAGTTTACACAAGCTCTGAATCCTAATATTGTATATACTAACCCCCGGAGACATATCGCGTTTCTTCATCATTTCCAACACCTTCCCAACATCATCATACTTCTCCTCCCTATAAAATCCAGCAATACAATTCCCAAACGACAGCGCATTCGGTTTCACACCCTTCCTCTCCATCTCAGACAATATCGAATACACAGAACTAGACGAACCGGACTCGCAAAATGACTTTAAAACCGTATTGTAAGTATCAAGATCAGGCTCAATCCCATATTTTCTAGGAAATTCAAGAAATATCCTCTTAACCTCACCATAATTCTTAGCAAGCACACAAGAAAACAACAGGGCATTCAAAGATTTTACCGTCCGATCGACACCCAGATCATGTGCTTGTTCAAATGTCCGAATGGCATGGTCCAGCATGCCAGCCTGACCATACAGGATAATGCAGCGAGAAATGAAGCCTTCTGTCTTCAAATCGGGTCGGGCCTTTAATTCTTCGAGGAAAGAGCGAATGCCCTCGAAGTAATTGGAGTCTTTGAGCTTGGAGATTGCTAAGGAGAAGGCAATGCGGTCGAGATGGGAGTCTGGGGTCAGGGACGCGGCTCGGCAGATTTCGAGGATTTTTTCTGGGTTTTTCTCGGATTTTAGGAGAGATAAAGCAGCTCTGGATTTTTCTTTGCTACCTAATGGTGATTTAGAGTCCGGGTTTAGAATTGATGAGAAATGGCGAAGCTGGACTGAATTCAATCGAAGATTTAGTAAGCTCAATCGAAGCTTATACTGAAAAGCCATTGACTCTTGACGGTTTTGTGTGTGTAATGAGAGAGAGAGGTTTGGGGGTTTTGAATTTGGAATTAGGGTTTAGTGTGGGTTGCGGTTGGAGAGAGAGGACGGAAAGCCCAACAAAAGCCTGAAAAAAGAAGAGGTTTCTTAAAATTTGTCACTTAAACCGTCTAATATTTAAAAGATTACACATAAATCCTCTAACGGATATGCGCGTAGCACTAATAAATTATATTTAAATCTCCTTAAAATTTATAAATATATATTACTTAAATTCCTTAAGTTTTAAATATTATACTTAGAGTAAAAATGCTCCAATTAAAGATAAAATATTAAATATTTTAAATTTTACAACTAAAATTCATATTCTATTGTATCATTTATTGAAATAAAATCAAAAATAAAAATTTAATTTTTTTTTAAAAAAATTATAATTAGTTTACATTTATATTGTCTATTAGAATTTAATTTGATCGTTTAAACAACCAAATTAACTATCAAACTATCTCAATTAAAGTTAAAAGATATTGTGTCAATTACAGTTTGACTCTATTAATTTTTTAGTTTAATTCTAATAGATAATATAATTATATACTAACTATGATTTTTTTTAAAAAAATTAGATTTTTATTTTTGATTTTATTTCAATAGATGAAATAATAGAGCATGAATTTTAGATGTAAAAATTATGTTCTATAATGAATGACTTAGACCCTTTGTTTGATTTTTTAGTTTTATTCCGATAGATAGTATAATTGTATACTAATTAATATTTTTTAAGAAAAAAATAAATTTTTAATTTTAATTTTTTTTCAATAGATGATATAATAGGACATGACCTTTTGTTATAAAATTTAAAATATTTGATATTCTATATTTGATTGGAGTATTTTTTGTCTAAATATAATATTTTAAATTTAAAAGGGTTAGGTATCATATACTTACAAATTTCACGGGAGTCTAAATATAATTTATTAATATATATATTTAGGGGTCTAACTGTTGCGTACGTACAAATTTTAAGGGGTCTGTGTGTAATTTTTCTTGAAATAATTTATTGTTGACAGAGCAAGAGTGGCTATTGCCAGAGAAAATGATGCCTTTTAAAGTTGCACATTGCCCTGACAATAGCAAATTTTGTGTTGGCAGTAAAAAAAATTTAATCCGAAAAAGAGAGAAGTGAACCCGACGTGAATCGAACACGCAACCTTCTGATCTGGAGTCAGACGCGCTACCATTGCGCCACGGATCCCAGTGGTTGATTAACTTGAACTTTTATATATTAGATTATATTAATAAAACAGAGCATCTTAATCTTCAACCCAATAATAGTCCCAACATATATACTTTTTTGGGTAAAAATCATTCGGACCCCTGAGTTTTGTCTTAATGACACAGACACCCCCTCATATTTTATTAATTACAATGACACCCCTATCATAAACGGAGTTAATAGAAATTGTACAATGACAAGAATAACCCTAATTTTTTTGAATTATAATATTGTCAGTTAAACCACAATGCATAAAATGACATAAATATCCACCTCACTACCAAAACCCTAAAAAATCGAAACCATCGTACAACCCATCGTTTGCATAGAGAGAAAGAGAGAGAAATCGAAACCCTTCACAACCCATCGTTTGCCTATAGCCGTTAACCCTTCTCACCCCAAATCGAAACTTTCCTCTTCCTTTTCCTCCCCGATTCCCCCACAGCCTCCTTCTTTCCACAATCCCCACAAATCTCATCACCTCTTGAACTCAAAAGCCCTAAATTCCACAATGTATTGGCTCCACCAAAGATCTAACCCTACAAGTTGAGCGACACCTACTGGGCATTGATGCCAAACGATTCTAGTCCACCATTTTGCTCGAATTCTTGCGTTGTCATACTCGTTTCAAGAGTGTCAAGTTGGGTTGTGGCCAAGGTCTCTCCATTCACTCTCTCTATCTCAATATATGTATAAATAAATACTCATTTTCATTCTATATTCTGTGTGGGGATGTGTTGATGGGTTTTATTTTCTCTATCTCTACACTTATCCACCAACCCACTCACATACACGTGCTTGTGTCTTAATCAAGTTAGAATTGTTCGATTTTGGGTTGATGAGCTTTCTTCATGTGAATAGATGGGCTTTATTCATGGGAAAGATGACTATATTATGTTTGTTCTCTGTACTTTTTGATTTTGAGTGTTGTGTATGAGTAATTCCTTTGCTTTTACTGCTTTGGGGTTTTATGTGGCTAGTTAGAAGCTTCTCCAAGTGGTTTAGTTGGACTTTGATTAATTTTCTTTATTAGGATAATGGGAAAATATTTAAATTCTTTTCACTTATTCTAATTTTGTGCTTAGTTGTTTTATTTTATTTGTATTTTCTTTGTAAATAAGAAATTTAGGAACGGAAGAAATTAATTTATTTGATGCTGGTTTTCATTCTCTAGGGACTAGGGAAGTATAAGTTTTTCCTGGACTATGCTTTGGGAAATATTCGGCTCATTAGGTTTAATGTTTGACATTCTCCTCTGTTCCAAATGACCATTGAAGATTAAAGCAACTCTAATTGTTGACTTAAGCATTTTTCATTTCTCTACTCAGTTGTAACAAATTTTTTTTTCTGTTTTGTAGCATTTTTCTATTTTGCTTGTAACAGAAAATCAGAAATTATTTTTTTTAACAGGAAAACAAGAACTAATTTTCCTATTTTCCTCCACCTGAGTACATAGATACATGTGTATAGGGAAGCTAATATTATAGCAAATTTTATGGCCTCTTTTGCTGTTAAAGTTGAGAGAGTTCTACTGATTTTTCTACAAATGGTCCAGAAATGCCGAGAGTGATTCTGCATTAGGTTTTTCTAGCTGGTCCAGAAATGCAACATTTGTACAGGAGAGACTTTNTGATGGCCTCTTTTGCTGTTAAAGTTGAGAGAGTTCTACTGATTTTTCTACAAATGGTCCAGAAATGCCGAGAGTGATTTTGCATTAGGTTTTTCTAGCTGGTCCAGAAATGCAACATTTGTACAGGAGAGACTTTCACATTTCTTTTATGGTTTTGTACTCTTGTAATTTTGAGATTTAATCAATAAAATTTTTCTTTTTTATTAAAATTTTTCTTTTTTCTTAATTGGTTGATTCTTCATATCAAATCATTGTAGATGAACTATATAGTGAATCCACAGAAAAATAATGGAGAGAGAGAGAGAGGGTACAGGTTTAAATTTCTTCACTCAGTGGGTCTGAAGGATATAATAGTCTTTCTATTATATATTTTTNGAAAAATAATGGAGAGAGAGAAAGGGTAAAGGTTTAAATTTCTTCACTTAGTGGGTCTGAAGGATATAATAGAATTTCTATTATATATTTTTGGAAAAATTTTAATATATAATACTTAATCTTACTATTGAGGGCAAATTTTGGAATTACAAGGATTTTTTATGGAGATGTCACTCTTCTCCGTCTACATTATTGACGGCCATGGAACAGAGGGGGTGTCCGTATAACGAGTTTCAAATGTGAGGGGGTGTCACTATAATTAATAAAATGTGAGGGGGTGTCCGTGTCATTAAGACAAAACTCAAGGGGTCCGAATGATTTTTACCCTACTTTTTTTTATTACAGAGTGTTAAAACTTGCGCCGATTATTTTCTCGAGCTCAGTGGCTAGTTACCATGATTTGAATTGAGTTAGAACATATCTCTAAAGGGACATGAGTGTCTAGTCCTTAAGGTGTGTGAAAATAAATTAAATCTGAAACATTTGGATTATCATATGTCAAACTTAACAACTGAACCACCCCTAAAAATTTTAATTTAAATCATTTAAATTTTACGACTTGTCTTTATTACTTACATTTTAACTTAATAACTCTTTTTATTCATATCTATTCTTTTAACCGTAGTAAAATATTTAATAACTCACTTACATAGTAGCCACATTAAAAAAATGAAAAATATAATTTAAATCTAATTTATGAATCTAATCAATTATAGTTATTGAATCAAAAGTGTGATTCATAAACTCACAATTGATTTAACTATTGTATTGAATAAAATCCTCAAATTAAATCACTATAACATTGGTCTTAAAAAAAATTTGATTTGTAAGGGTTCACATGAATAGGTCAATAATGACCCTCATTGACCATAGGAACATGATTAGTCATTTTCTAAATGCATCAACATTCAACACTATATTAAACCCCAATTATATTGTCGTATAAAAAAATGATGAAATATAGAGAGATTTTTTTCATAATTCCAGTTAATACAAGTATGATGCATAATTTAAGTGTACGTTTTAACAAACTAATTAATCATGACCCCTTATTTATTACACAAGCATAACTAATTTTTTTTCTAAATTTGGTAACATTATAATAAACTCCAATCTTGTTTTATATAAAAACTGATAGTGCTCGAAAATACTTAGCCCAATTCCAGATCAATGTTTTGTAAGATTGGGGTGGGGTGGGGTGGGGTGAATAGTCTAGGCTAACAGAGAAAAAGTATGAGGAGATGAGATCAAATACAATACATAAATGGTTCACCCTAGTAGAAAAATCAGGGTTACGTCCACTGTAATGGAGGTTCTTGCTCCGTAAGGTTTGTATTGCCTGAAGAAGAAGGTTACAATAATTTTCTTAGCTTAAAACTAGTATAAACGGTGTCTCATGAGTACAAGTTTTTCAGATCCCTCTCTTTTTTTACAGCGTGAAGGTATTATATATATAAGTAGCCATCTAGGTTTTTTTTGGTGTTCTTCCCTCGGTTGATTTTGTGGTGTCTTCCTTTTTGTCTTGTAATGGTGACCGTTGTTCTGACACAAATCATCTCCACGATCCTTCAATGGAATGTGCACAAATAATCCATTTTCTAGTGAGTATGCATTCGTTAGTGGCTCTAGAAGCTGTCCCCCTAGACACGTGGCAGGATAGAAGGCGTTTGGGATTCGGTGAATACAGAGCTCCCTATCTCCGAGCTACTTACTGCTGAGCCTGTCATGATTGAGTAGGACTGTGCCGACTTGGGCTCTGTTGGACTCCCTTCTTTGGATTATAGCCCATTCTTATTGTGGAGCAGATACGCTGCAGAGAGGTCACTTGGGCTG